TGCAGTAACGTTTGTAAGAAGACGACCTCTAGTGGCAACAACCAACTGACAGAGCGGTGGAGCAGTGGTCACCAGGGGGAGCACAACAATACCAGGACTTTTAACTATTATTATTATTGTTGTTGTTGTTGTTTTCTGTACATCATCCCTCAGGGTTTAAAGAATCCTTGGTACTTACCTCTGCTGCGGTGGAAGGTCTCGTCATGAAGCTGGTACTTGTCCCTGCAGTTAAAAATGCAGGTTAGGACGAAGCTTTGTCACTGGTTAATAACATTAGCTTCAGTTGGTACTAAATTATAATACACTTGATGATCCGGTAATTACAGTAAACACTGAGACGAGGATAAAACTGTAGGTCAAATCCCAGGTGTTACAACATTTGATCCGGTAATTACAGTAAACACTGAGATGAGGTTAAAACTGTGGTTCAAATCCCAGGTGTTACAACATTTGCTGTCTTTTCTCTCTCTCTCTCTCTCTCCTCTCTCTCACCTTCAGACGAAGACAAAATTATGAAATATTCATATCAAAATTAAATAAACCTCATATTGACTTGATGAAAGTCATTCTCATTGAAGCTTAATAATGGATATTTTTCAGGCAGGGGTCTCAAACATTAATAATGGATATTTTTCAGGCAGGGGCCTCAAACATCTGGCCTACGGGCCACTTCTGGTCCATAAACACACTAAGTCTGGCCCACAACTAGATGTCAATAATGATTTAATGTTTTTTTTTTTTGTTTGTTTTTTAACTGACTATTAATCCAACAAAAGACAACATTTTAGGTAAAAATCTAGAATCTATTTTTATTTTTTGGGGAATAATAAAACTATAGGGTCGTGAATGAAAGACTTCCATAAACCTTGGGTTCCGAGTTGAAGTCAAAGTTTTTCGCTGCTCTGAGACAGGTCCGGTGAGAACCGGGGAACAGTGTGGACTCTGCAGCCGTCCACCTGAGAACAACTGCTGTTGCTTTGTGACAGGACTGTATATGAATAATTTATGTGGCACCTCTGAGCTCAGGTACAAGGCTGTTCTTTATAAAGAACCACAGCAGAGGTGGCAGACGACAGGCCTGGAACATAAGGTTCACGTATGTGATGTGGCGCGGCGGCCGGAGCAAATGAAAAACAAATCGTCAGATCAAACACTGCGGCAGCAAAGAGATAAACATATATATATAAATACACTGTATTCACACTCATTAACAGGGTTAGATTTTCTGACTGGAACCCTGTTTGTCTGAGATACTTACACTTTAGTTTTATTTCTGAACAGTGTATATTTTCAGCTCCAGCTCTGCAGTGTGTGCCTACACACAGGAAACACAGTGGGATATTATAGTAAAATGTATGAGAGAAGAAAAAAAACATTGATATTAACGAATAATTAGGTATGACAATTAATGTATTAAGTATGCAGTAAATATTGTAGTATTTAAAAATGCAATATTTATTAAAACAAATACTTTACTTTTACTTTAAACATTATTAGAATATAAAATAAATAAATTCATATTTATTAATTCATCTTTAATAGATCCAGTAGGTGGCAGTAATACAGATACACAGACGTAAGAACAAGCAAGGTTGGAGTCCGTCGAAGAAATTGTATAGTAGTATAATGTTGTTAGCTTAGCATTTGAGGATGTTGACAACAATAAAACTTACTTTAAACGTTCATATTGTTGGTCTGTCTCCAAAGGCAGTGAAATACAAATTCTAATTTAGTCTTAGCGTCGTGCAAATGTATCGTAGCAGAGGTTGAAAATTATCGTACATCGTATTATTGAGCGGTGCTTACTTTTACTTTTCCCCGGACTCCTCCTCTTCCTCCTTCACCGGTGTTTCTCATTTTCGCTTAATTATTACTTTGTTTTCCTTCTTTTCCTGCTCCTCCTCCTCTTCCTCCTCCTTCACCGGGGTCTCTCATTTTCCCTTAATTATTACTTTGTTTTCCTCTTTTTTTCCCTCTTTCCTCCCGGACGTTAGCGTCTCAAGGGGAAAGGTAGCGGCAGACCATTCAGCCAATCATGTTCGTTGTTTAGTGGCAATAAAATGGACGTCACTCGTAGCTCACATTTTAAAAGAAAAGTACAATTGGCTGAAAACTTGTCGCATGAAAACAGATGCCTTCAGGGTTCACAAAAAAATCTGTTCCGCTAATTACAACGGCACGTTCACGGAATGGTCACATTATCGTATTTTTACCCTTTTTTTTGACGATTATTGATCGTACGTCGTACAACGGGGTAATTTATAGTACACGTCGCAATGCGATTCGTTCTGATTGGATCTCGTCTTTATTCGTCCCGCCCAAATATTTTCGTCTCCTTTTGATTCGTTTACAGATGTATTAATTATATATTATATATATTTATATATTTCGTCCTTGAAAAAAATATTCGTTGACGAATATTTTTCGTCATTGTGTTCGTCAACAAAATAACACTGGTGTAATAGAAGTATTTTGTAATTATAAGGTCGTACTTCCGCAACATAGCTAAACTCTGTGCTATTTTAAACCAGATAGACATTTACGCATTTTAGTTTTTGAGTAGAAAGAAAAAGAAAAAAAAACAAGGGCAATAAAGGCATAGTTAATATTATTAGTATTTTTTACGATATCAAATGCAGGGTTTGAAACTTATTTAACATAAAATATACAAAAAAACTGATGTTTGAAACGGGGTTAATCGGATCAGCTGTGGCGTGGCGTTAAAGGCCATCATATCAGTGTGTCGCCGAGGTCATAGGTCATTATAACTGTCCCTGACCTGATGTCGTCGACCTGGGATTAGGTGGCATCATCTCTCCAAAGTGGGCTTCTTATAATCTGCTCTGTCATTGCCCTGTGACAAACGATGACAGGCGTATGCTGACCTGATGGTCACCTCACTTTCTAAGATGCTGCCCTTTCGTACATCATACATATTTTGAAAGTTTGAAAAATTGCTTTTTTAAAAGTTCAAGTGTTTTTTGTTTTTTGTTATATAAAAAAGGAAGAAAGAAAAAAAAACAACCCAACAGCATCCGTCAGCAGACTCCACTCCTCGGCTGCACAGCAAACACACCGCTGTTCTGACAATATCATTTCCAGCAGCAGCACAGCTGAGTGCACTCCATCTGAGTCATGATCCTCTTCAAACCTCATGGAGAACCTGGGATTTTTTTTTATAGATAAATCCAAAAATACATTTGCTCTGCACTGACTTATTATTATCGCAGCCATTTTCACCTTCTCTGCTGTGACCGCGTGAATGGATGGAAGTCACAGTGCGTCGGTGCAAAGCCACCGTAAATATAGAGTGGTTTAGATTTTAGCATTCAGTGCAGAGAGCAGCAAAGCCCACGGGTGTTTGAAGAGAGAGAATATGTGAGAACAAAGTCAAAAGGAACCACGGGTGGTCCGACATCAAACTGAAAACTGGATGCACTGGGCCGAGTGACTGGGTTTAGATGAATCCAAGGTGTCCTTCCATCATCATCACAGAGACAATGATAAAGATACTCACGGTACCACTAATAAAGGGTCGTTACAAGACAAGTATTCAGAGTTTAAGATAATCTGAATTTGTTAGCCATGTAGATCCTGTTCTCTCCTGTAGGGGGTGCTGTGAATGAATTCTAATGTTAATTAATTCCTATTTTGTATTGGTACACTATTAGTGTTATGTGTAAACTAACTTTGTAAGAGAGTAAAAAAAATAAAACAACATTAATTACAGTCAACAAGAAGGTAAGATTATTTAAACAAGCAGTGGAAAAATAAAACTATCTCTTAAATATTAAATGTGTTAGCAACTAATCTAGTAGTTGATAAGGTCAGTTGATAGTTATAGAATATTTAATTTTTTTTTTTGGATCTGTGATCTGTCTGAACACCGTTGGTTTCTGAACTCCTTTTGAAAGGTTTGAGCCAAAGAAACCGTCACGTCTTGTCCAGCCCACAGTCAAACTGTGTGAGTTTATAGGTCAGTGTCGAGCTGCAGTTGCTGCATCCCTCCCCTCTCTTCCCTCCCCTCCCTCCCCTCCCCATCCTTCAGCTTACGTCCAGTTAAAGCGGCTTAGACGTGTCCTTTTTCCTTAAACGTCAGGTTCAAATGCTTCCTGCGCCTGAAATCTGCCCTAAAAACCTCAACATGTCAGTGATTTAAATCACAGACCGAGGTTTAAATGGACCCTGTCTTTAACAACGAGTAACACTCACCCAGAGTTGAACAGACTGATCATTAATACTGATATAAAATCAGATTATCTTCATGAATTATTTATAAAAAATATGAACCATATGAAAAACAAAATCATTTAAATAAAACAACAACAAAAACATCAACATTAAAGACTGATTCCCGGGTTCTTTTCAGACAGAAATATAATCTGTCCAAACCTGTAAGGACATTAACTTGATGTCTAAGACACGGAGGTTAATCTGTGACGTGTTTGGAACTATTTCCGGCCGATAACAAACGTCTAATTCCAATCTAACTTTACAGGCGTGCTAGAACAAGAGGTCAAAGGTCTTTGGATCAGGCCTGAGTTGTTTTTTTTCTTTTTCCAGAAGAATCTATGAAATTGCACATTTTGAATGAATATATATAAGATTTTCAGCTCATGAACTCCACCGTGTGTTTCTTCACTGCTCCTAAATGATTGATTATTTTTAACAGATCAGAGCAGATTAAAGTATTGATTAATCCAGACTCTTGTTTTTGTAACTTTTCTCCTCACCAGCCTCATGTCTGCTGGGGTCAACAGGGAACACGGAACGTGCCAGAACCACGTCTCACACTTGGACGTGAGACACCAGCGGACGCCGGTGTCCTCAGGTCAGAGCTGCATGTGAACCTCTGACGGTCTGAACTCGGGGATTAGCTGAGAGGAAAATCCTTCCAGATTGATCTCTGGCCGACACGGAGCCGTCTCGCAGAGCTCCTCTGATTCTCACCCTCGGGGGTTGGGTGAGGTGGAGCGGGGGAGCGTGAAGTTTGGCTCACTCGTTCCAGGAGACCATGTGACCATGTGACCATGCAGAATTGGATGTGGGAGATTAGGGAGGAAGATATAAAAGCTCCACGGAGGAGACACGTCCTAAACTCCAGAGGAGAGGACAGCAGAGAGCAGAGATCGGCGGTGGCCTCTTAGGACGTCTGTGACCACAGGTGAGAACATGGTACCGATGACCTGGGTGGAACCGATGGTGTGCTTGGTGCTGTGGTAGCTGCAGTAGAACTTCACCTGTGGATGCTTAGAGACAAAAAAAAAAAGAAATGATGTGAAGGCTGATCATTGACTGTTTTATTCAATGTCCTGTAGTCAAACAGAAATAATAAGGAAGGCGTGTTTAATTTAATTTAATTTAATTTAATTTTTTTTTTTTATTTTATTTTATTTTATTTTATTTTATTTTTTGCCTTTTAAATTCTTGAGCTGCTGTAAAATATCTGTTGCTTGAACTGGAGGACTTCTATCTTCTTCCTGATTGGCCGGCACAGGTTTTTAGAAAATCTTACTAATTTTACAGAGAACTGAAAGGTTTCCATTGATGATACATTGAGGACAGAATGTTTAGCCTCTTCAGCACACGGAAGTATTTTTTTTAGATACTTATACGTGTGTACTTTGATGAAGTATTTTCCATGGTGAATACATGTTTGTACATCCTTTCATGGACTCGATGAACAGAGACTTAACAACAGGTCCGTGTGTTTGCTAAAGAGGATTGACCTCCAGGGCAACAGTCACAGCAACAGATGGTTGAGAAGATGTGGAACAACAGCAGGAGGAGCAGCAGGAGGAGCAACAACTTTGGAGGGAGCTTGAGGGGGGGGGTCACACAGTTGTTACATCACCTGTGAGTGTCAGGTGTTCTCCTCCTCCTGCTGCTTCTCACTGCCTGCCAGGAGGATTAACAGAGTCAGGAGGAGAGGAGAGGAGAAGGACAGAGGGAGGAGAGTGGGGGAGGAGTGGGGGAGGAGAGGGGGAGTGTGTGGGGGGGGTAAGGTCTGACTCCACTGCCTCTCTGTTGGGAGTCCTGTTGAGTCTTGGTCCGATGAAGTCGGCGTCTGGAGACTGGAGATGACTGAGTTCAGTCTCCCAGCGCACGCGGCACCCCTGCTGTTCAGCGAGGGTAATGACTCCACAGAGGATCCGAGTGGGATTAGAGCTAATCCGGCTTCTTAAACTAATCTGCATAATCTCCACTGATTGACATTGGGAAACAGGATTAGCAAAAAGGCAGCGGGTTCTGGTGAGACGGAGGAGACGACAGCGACTGAGTCAGTCTGACGTTCTCTCCTCTTCATCTTCATCTTCTTCGTCTTGTTACAGAGCTCCTCAGCAGACATGAACGCCAGCCCCCCTGCAGGAAGTGCCCTGGCTCCTGGAGCCACCACGGGGCCCACAACACCAAAGAAGGGCCCGCCCAAGTTCAAGCAGAGGCAGACTCGTACCTTCAAGAGCAAGGCTCCCAAACCAGGCCAGAAGGGGTAAAAAAAAAAAAAGTTACAATGTAGATTTGACCTTTGACCTTTGAGCTGTCAATCAACTGGGATATTTAACCAGATTAACCACATGAATCGTGATTAATCGGACATGGTAGCTGTGGATTAATCGTGATTAATCATCTTATAATTCTGTAAACACTTCTCTTCTTTTCAGTCGTTTTTTTTTTCTCCGACCTTGAATTAACTCAAGTCTTTCATAAACACCTTGGGAATCGAACCACTGACGTCTCTTCTGTTTGTTCTTCGCAGCTTTGGAGACGACATCCCCGGCATGGAGGGTCTGGGCACCGACATCACAGTGGTCTGCCCATGGGAAGCCTTCGGCGACATGGAGCTCAGCGACTTGGCCAAATATGGAATCATTTAAACCTCCTGCCTTCCCTTTCTGCCCTGCACCTCCTCACCTCCTCACCCTCCTCCTCACCCCCATCCTCCCCCTTCCACCACTGCTGGCCAGGTCGTGATAAGGCTGCCAGCGTTCCCTCTATCGTCCTCTGGTGGCGCTACCTCCTGCTTTACTCCACTGAGTGGATGAGAGTATAAGAATGAAGTTTTTATCTGTTTATTATTGTATAATATTATTATATCCTGTGGATTCTTGTAATAACAAGACCAGGAAAAAAACAACAACAACTCTTCCTTCCTCTTCACCCCCCAGGATCGTTTCCTCCTCCCTCCTCTCCTCATTTCACCTCCTCTCCTACCTTCTCCGACCCCCCCCCCCTCCGCTGGTATTTGCTCATAGCTTTTTGCTTCAGTGTAAATATTTTGCATTCATTGTTTTTTTCCCTCACCTCTTCTGCCTCCTCTCTTTTTTTTTGCGTGATATTTAACTACTTGTTTTGCACATGGCAATGCCCCCCACCCCACCCCGTCACCTTGTTTCCCCCTTAGAAAAAAACACACATACATGTACTTTGCACTGGTGTGTCCCGTTAGCTGCAGTAAAATCTGTTACCTTTTCAGAATTCATGTCTCTTTTTTTGTTGCTCAAACCGGTTAATTTTTGAAGTAATTCACAAACAAAACTAGGCCAATGAAATATTAATACTTGAACTCAAAGTGAATATTTATATTCACCCACCCCCCGCCCACTCTGAGTGGAATAATCACAGCCAAGGTATTTCTTTACTTCAGGCTCCTGAAAACCCCAGTGGACGTGGGAAACAAAGTAAGGTGCTTATATTCATAATAAAACTGCAGTTTTTACTCAGCTCATTAGGAGAAAAAAAAAGAAGAAAAACCGCATTCGCTGCCAAAGTACTCGTACTCTAAGACCTACTTCACTAAATGAGTGCAGCACTTAAATACCTCACAGCAGTCGTCCACAGCAGCCATCTTTAATGCAGTCCACTGATGGGGGGGGGGGGAGGGGGACCAATCAGAGGTACAATAAAAACCCTCCAGGGCGAACTGAAATATATAATTTTATATTATAAGTGAGGTAAAATATATACATACATACATACATATATATACATATATAAATATATATTTCTAAATATATTTAGACATATATGGTTATATTTATATATATATAAGATATTTGTTTGCATATTTACATATACCTGTGTGTATACACATACGTATATGCACATATATAAATGTATACACATATATGTAAATATATATTTTATGCATACATATATATTTAGAGATATATGGTTATATTTAAACATATATATATATATACACATGTATAAAAATATTTATACATGTATTTACATATATTCACCGTTTAGTTGTCGTGCTGAGCTCTGATTGGCTCTCGCCTTCGTTGTTGTTCTTTCATTTCCATGACAGAAAATCAGTGCTGACTGGACGTTTGTTGACTAATGTATCCATATATTTTGTCGTTAAGCCTCACAAAATATTTCAGTAGATGGAATTCAAACTGGATTGGGGGAGACGCGGGGGGGGGGGGGGGGGGGGGGTGAAGTGTGTACTGCGGCGTGTACTGTAGAAACACACAGTGTCAGAAACATGTGTGTCTGTGACAGAACAGGAGTGACTCTGGATCAGCAGACAGTTGGACACACCCTGTGAACAGGAGCCGTACGTGTGCAGACACGAGAGACAGCGCTGGGTGAGGACATGTCCAGGACCGTAGTCAAAACTTTTTTTTTTTATTTTTATTTCCTGACACAGCTCCTCCTGCAGCTCAGCTCAGCTCAGCATGAGTTTGTCAGTGTTTGTTGTGTCTGTAGCGGCAGTATCTACGGCGACACCTGCGTCATGTGACTCAGCTCCTCGCTCTGATCCTCACCTGCACCCACTGAGCTCTGAGATGCAAATTCCCAAGGGAAACAAGACACTTAAACAGGGTGTGTGTGTGTGTGTGTGTGTGTGATCCTCACCTGAAGGTGTGTGTGCATGAGTGTGTGGGACACGCCCTCAGTCTGTAGGAGGAGGAAATGAGGAGCAGGGAGCAGGTTTCTGTCTCGGACCTGATGGTGTGGAGTGGAACCAAGCGTCTCCACACGTCTGTCCTCTCTGTCTGTGGAATGGACGCAGCGTCGGGACGGAGCGTGCACGGCTGCAGTGTGTGATAGAAGAAGAAGAAGAAGAAGAAGAAGACGATTCACTGACAAACGAAAAGAAAAAAAACGTCCAGAGTTTAGAGTCAAGACAAAAACAAAAAAACTGAAGCGTTCGTTGAACTGATCAAAAAGACACAAGGTGAGTTTTTAAAAAGTTTTGGTTTTTTTTTAAAGGTGTGGGCGTGGCCGTCTGGTCTCAGGACATAGTTTTACTTTAGTGAAGTCAACTTCCAGTCATGAAGTTGGGGGTTCTATTCCGGCTTTAGTGCCTCTGATACACTCAACCATAAGTTGTGGTTGGACGTTAAACTCCAGGTGGTTCTTCCAGGACATCCGCTCTGCGTTACCATGGCAACCGCCTGGAAAAACAAGCCATCACAAAAACACTGACTTTGTTTTTTTATTATTATTTAAGTGATTGTTCATCTAGATCAGGTTTCACAACCATCTCAGACTCGTGTCTCGATCACATGACCAAACTGGTCCGACCTTCGTTTCTGGATTAAAGATTCTTCTGAAATGACTGTAGCAGCAGCTGTCGCTGTTCACAGGTCAGGACCTGGATTTCAGTTGGTGTAGATTAAACCAAGACAACGTCTACGTGGTGTCTCTCAGTCGGAATTTTCATCTCTCAGTCGGGGGACGAGGGACGAGGGACTGAGACCGGACTCCAGCGTCTGTTCCAACCTCGGCCTCATGTTTGAGGATCTGTTCTTTATTCTTCACCTCGACTCACACACACGCAGCCCTGCCTTGTTCTGGCATGTTAATACACTCCCTCCTCCTCCTCCCCCTTCCCCTCCCCCTCCGCATGTTAATACACTCCCTCCTCCTCCTCACCCTCACCCTCCTCCCCCTCCCCCTCCGTCTCATCACTCTCTGTCAAATCTCCCTCACTGTCGAGGGTTTTTCCACCTCGGGGCTCCGTCCTCCGTCCTCCGTCTTCCCTCTCGTCCATCTGTTGACAACATGACATCACTGTTTTCTCCCGTGCTCATGTTTCGACCTGTTCTTTCTTCACAGCGGGGAAAAAAAAAAGAGGCAACGACCGCAGGACGTGGAGGCAGAAGGTCCTGGTGTGGATTAGTAAACCCAACATGGCCTCCCCGCTCCTCCTCCTCCTCCTCTTCCTCTCCTCCGTTCCTCTCACGTGTCTGTGCCAGTCGACAAACAGCAGCTCAACCAGTCCCACAACAAACACCCAACCCTCGTCCTCTCCCTCCAACGTCACCTCCCTCAGGGGAGTTCGAGGCTGCGGCACGGGACTCAATCCCATCTACAGGTACCTGTGCGACCGCCGGGCGGCGTGGGGGATCATCCTGGAGGCGCTGGCCTCCGCGGGCTTCCTGTTCAGCGCCGTCCTCCTGCTGGGGTTCCTCCTCTGGTCCCTCTGGCCGTGCGTCAAGTCCAAAAAACGCCGCAGCAGCATCGGCGGCTCGGTGGCCTGCACCTCCATGTTCCTGTTGGCCACGGCCGGACTCTTCGGCCTGACCTTCTCCTTCATCGTCCGTCTGACGGACCAGACCTGCCCCACCAGGGTCTTCCTCTTCAGCGTGCTCTTCTCCTTGGCCTTTTCCTGCCTCCTGGCGCGCTGCCTCGCCCTCCTGGGCTTCGCCGCCGCCCGGGGCTGGGGTGAACCCGCCGTGGTCCTGGGGCTTTTCACGGTGCAGGTCATCATCTCCGCGCAGTGGCTCGTCGTGGTGCTGGTGCGGGACGGAAGGCCGTGCGAGTACGGCCAGGAGGAGTTCGTCATGATGCAGATCTACGTGCTGTGCCTCCTCTTCATCGGCTTTGTCCTCTCCATGCACTTCCTGTGCAGCACCTGCTCCACGCACAGCTACAGCTACACCGGGCCCAAGAACCAGCAGGGCAGGATACAGGGCACCATGGTCTTCGTCACGCTGCTGCTCTCCGTCTGCGTCTGGGTGGCCTGGGTCGCCATGTTCACCCGGGGGAACCCAGAGCTGGAGCGCAGGCCGCAGTGGGACGACCCGGTGCTGGGCCTGGCCCTGGTGACCAACGCCTGGGTGCTGCTGCTGGGCCACGGCCTGGCCCAGGTGTCCTTCCTCTGCAAGGGGGAGTCCAGGTCCAAGGAGGTTCCTCTGAGCTTCGCCGGCTGGACCAGTCCCAGCGCCGACATCCAAGATCTGGGGAGTCAAAAGGAAGGGCGGGAAAATGGAAGCTTTGAGTCGGAGGGAGACAACAGGAGAGGTAGGAAGTGACATCATCAGAGTGACAACATTACATTTATATATTTATATATGTATAAAACCAAATATTCAGAGTGACCACAGCAGCAGTCGGTCTGACTATCCGACCGTCTACACGCTTATAAATATATATTTGTATACATGTATGTATACGTATATACAAATATGTATATATATATATGCATACATATATACACATAAATATATAAATATATATGTATATATAGATACATATAGACACATATATATTTATATACATATATATGTGTATGTATGTATATATACATATGTATATATACATACATACACATATATATGTATATATGTATATATTTATATATTTATGTGTATATATGTATGCATATATATATATACATATATGTATATATATACATATATGTATATATATACATATCTATATATGTATATATATGTATATATTTATGTATGTGTGTGTACCAAAACGGTGCCGACGCTCGTGTCCGTCCTTCAGCTCAGCTCACTGTGATAAACAGCCCATAATTAGCTGTAACTGTATCACGCGTCTCCCTCCAGGCAGGAGAGCGGAGTCGTCTCTGCGGTCGCCCTACGAGTCTGGATTCTCCCTGACGGTGAGTAATAAAACCAGGAGGAGGAACAACGCGCCTCCTCCTCTCTGCAATTAAGTGCTGTGACCTTTCACCACCGCGGGCAGTTAAAGCCCCGCTTCACTGTAAGGTTAACGAAGAGCGCGGCTCATCAAAGACATTTGTTGGCCTGACGTGTGGGATTACTGCGTGTGTTACTGCGTGTGTTACTGCGTGTGTTACCGCGTGTGTGTGTTACTGTGTGTGTTTCAGGAAATCGACCCTGACAAGGATTACTCCATCCCTCGGGTCAGCGTCAAAGTCTGATGAAAGGAAGCAGCCGCTCCAGTACTGCGAATGCTAATGTGTACTTCGCATACCAGATACACGGCTGTAATCAGGATACTTCAACTGCCATCGGAACAGTTTCAAAGTGTAACTGTCACAGTTTCTCCAGAACCAACGTCCGGATGAACAGCAGCTTCTCACAGTGAATATATATATATGATTGAATATATTAGTGAATATATATTTGCCTGGTCACTCCATGTTCTCCAGTCAAAGTACTGTAAATATACACGTACTCTCAGTGTACTGTAAATATACACGTACTCTCAGTGAAGCTGTTGAATCACAAAACAAACAAACAAAAAAAAAAATCTACATTTCCACAGACACAGAACGACCGAGTCACAAGAGACAAAAAGTATTGATTGTACTACACAAATACTAGTACTAGTATTAGTAATACTAGTACTACTGGTACTTCTTATTTTGACCACCTTGACCTGAGGTCGTCACTGCCCCCTAGACCCGTTGGTGGAAATGCAACTGTGGTCTGGGGGTTAAAGGGCACAGTGACGTCATGGTGTGAATGTAGGTATGACTGTAGGTGTGAATGTAGGCGTGAATGTT